ATAATGAATTTATGCTCGTCAATAGTAAATATTTATAGGAATTTTGCAAGCCAGAAATAAATCCATACCAGACACATTAATAGTGATACTACTGTTAAGATGTGCAATCAAATATATGTTGGAAAGGATTTAAGTACATAAAAAGTTCCCCTACTTGCATTTGAAAGTATGAAAAAATACCGGAGACACATATTTAAGGTTTTATTGTATAAAAAAAAAATAGGGGGTCAAATTTCTATAGGGGTCATTTTTCAACGTGTGTGGAGTCGTAGAAATCCTGGTATGTAATGTTTTCCTACGGTCGAAAAATGACCCTACTTGTCGTAGAATATTGATAATTGATAAAATAAATGTGTAGTACATTTATCTATGTTTAAATATTGTGTTATGAATTTTACTTGATACTATCAATATGTGAAGTGACGGACAAAAATATTAATCACAAACTTGTTTATAAACCCTAAACGCTTGGGTAGAGTAAGAAAGCATATTTATTTGACGGAAAATTAGTTTTTACGATTTGTTGTTCTCGATTATTGATACTTCTAATCAGACTTTGTGCAACGCTGCATCTATCTAATAAACTGAAGAATGTACAAGATACACGATGTTGTCGTAAATAGTGGAATTGCCGTATCCTATAAGGAGATGGGAGAGAGAGCTTCAGTGAGGAACAGACTATATTAATATCAATGAAGTGACACTTTAACTCACTTGCTGTTTCCAAATATGTGATTCCTACGATGCAGCTTCTTGTACAAAAGATGTGCACACTGAGTATCAGTAGCTTTTAACATCTTAGCTCTTAGACGAACTATGAGGGTTTATTTTTGATATCTTGCCTCCGAGACGAACTAAACTATGAGAGATTTTACCATCCTAGCTCCAAGAAGAATTTTGAGAGCCTTTACGAACTAGCTCTAGGACCTACGAGATCCAATGACTATGTGAACTTTCACCATATTAGCTCCGAGATGTTTGTAACTGAACTTTTTCATGTACCATTTCATTTCCATTGTTTTTGCTGTGACTTAACAATAAAGGTATAAACTTACAAAAGTCTTCCTAATCCAAACACATTTGGTAATTGTGTTATAATCGCCAACTACATGTTGAAACATTGATACATGTAAATATTGATTTTAGCAAAGCCCAGCTAAAAACCTTTTCCAGAACAACAACACCATGATATGTCTTATGGATAAGGAAAAATCCTCAGATAGTGCAGATTGATTTCTTGGGTTAGGCTGGGGACACATTAGCTGTAGATTAGAGTTTTACAAAGGATTATGTACTAGAAGAAAATCTTTAAAAATCATCTTCTCAAGAACTGCAAAGCATGTTAAGTCATATTGAGACGGAAGCATCTTCAGGAAGTGAAAAAATGAAGTTTTTTTTTCAAATAATGACCTAAGTGGATGTCAAAGAATATAAGAAAAAATTCTTTTAAAAATCATCTCAGGAGACACAATGGGATTTCATTTATATCTTTATGAATGATCAATTTTGGGTGCCTTCCAAATTGAATCATACAGATGTGAAGAGAATTGAAAAGAATACTTATAGTGAAGTTTTAAAAAACCAGTACATGCATTTCAAACGCTGTATCTTCAAAGCTACACGATTCTTAGGTATCTTGATAATATTCTAGCTACATGGAATATTATCCAGTAATTTTCAATGAATCAAATAGATAGGAATGGCAAATTATTTAAAAAATATTCTTCCAGCTTTAATTTTAATTTTGTATAAAGCTATACATTTTACATAGTTTTGATACTATGTAAAATTGTACTAAATTAAGCTTTGTTTTGAACTATTTTATTGGCAGTATGTAAAAGGGATATATATTGGACGCAAGTACTAAACACTTAGATAGTCTTTTAGTTATACTGAAATGGAAGTATTCTCAGGTAGTGTAGATTCAGATTTGTTAAAATGATGACCATCGGGGGTAGGGTGAGGCCACAATAGGGGATCAAAGTTTTAGAAAGGAACATATTGGGAGAAACTTTAAAATATTCTGACAAAAACAGCAAATCTATGAATTTGATATGGAAGCATATTCAGTATGGTAGAGTAGATGCAAATTGTTCAAATTCAGGATGTACAGTCCGGCTGCTTGAGTTCTTCTAGGAACCCCCTGGGGTAGGTTTGGGACAAAATGGAAGATCAATTTTTTTAATATAGAAATACATCGGGGAAAATCTTCTAAAAAAAAATAGAAAAGCCATGTTTAGTCATATAGGTTGGAGATGTGGAAGCATCCTCAGATTGTAATTCATATTTGTTTGAATGGTTACCCCGAGGGAAGGATGGGGCCAAGATTGGGAACGTTTTTCATAGGAATATGAAAACTACAATCATTAATTGTAGTTTTATGGAATCATCCTTAAGTTCTGTATAACCAAGTTTGTTCAAATCTTGACTCTCGGTGTCGTAAAGGGCACGGGGAGGGGGGGGGGGCTCAAATTGAAAACATCCTCAGGCGTTGAAAAAATTCAAGCCACCCCTATTAAGAACAGTGTTCAACTTACTTGTGCTTTTTCTTATCCAATGTACACAGATAAGCGATGTGACCCATAGGCGTTTTGTTTTTATTAGAGGAAATTGAAAAATTCATTAACTAATTAAAAAGGTCGTGAAACACGTGCTTCTGCATGCTTATTTTCGTACAACCAGCCATACCTATTAAAATTCAAAATCCAAATGTTAACATAGATAACTATGATCTCATGATTTATTCGTTTATGCATGAAACATATCAGTTTTAGATTTAAACTTTAGAAAAATAAAGGATAGTCATTTGCTTTGAGATTTTTGGAAGATATTCACTGAAAGAAGGATGTGGAGATAACGAACAATATTCAATCTCAAAGTCCATAAAACAATACAAAATAGGAGCAGAGCAAACACGGACCTCTGAAACATCAGAGGTTTGATCAGGTGCCATGGATGAGTGGGCATCCCCTGCTGACCGTCACACCCGTCGTGTGCGCCTTGTCATGATCAGGAAATAAAGGAAAAATACGTCGTCAATTCAGTGTATAAATGATAGACTAACAATTGGTACTAGTATGAAAAACGTCTGTCAGCATTTGACTCAATGATACATTGCATTTCCTGACAAGGTCATCGTATCAACCATAGAACTTTCGAAATGATGACTTTAAACGAGACTGCTGATATTCTTGTTTCATCAACTTGCTTGTCAGAAATTAGAAATTGTTCATACATAGAGCATGCTCTTGAGTAACGAATCAACTGAGATACATATACTCCGTATGCAGGTGATGTAGGTATAATGCTGCATAAGTAAGAGTAGTTGACGATAGAAAAGTAAAAGTCATCACCTTTATCATATAGCTTGGTTGTTTGATTACAATTAATGTCTTTTTCAAGTAAAATATCCAAGTGTGAAAGGGATGTGTCAGACTCTGTGGTATATTTTATCTCAAGCTCACCAGGATATATCGCATCGACGTAGGAATGGAAATTACTATTGTTAATTGACAATACCTCGTCGATATTTCTAAATGTCGAGTTGAAGGCCACAGCAAGTGTTTTCTTCTTTTCACGCATAAGATTTTGCACAAACCAACTTTGCATAAAATAAGTCTGCTAAAAACGGAGCGTAATTTGTACCCATGGGAATTCCAATAGATTGTTGGAATACCTGGTCTCCAAAAAACACATTTCTGAAGAATTTCTTCCTTAGAAAGGGAAGTATGAGTATAAGTTGGATTACCATTTGTACAATTAAATCCAAGTTCTTCTAAAATACAATTTATATAATGAGCCTTACAAACGAAGACAATAATGTTACCTGCTTTGTCGGCAGGGACCAGTACGTACTGATCATGTAATCTATCTAATGCTTTTTTCACTTCTGGATTATTGAACGCAGAAGGATAGATGGTTTTCATATTGCCCCTCAATCTTTTAATACGCGATAAAACGACATATTAATTTGACGGCCAGAGTGGAAATTAGTCTTAAATGACGTGCAATGTCTTAAATGACGGACGTATATTAAATGTTTTACATGCACAATGACACTAAAATAATAAAAAATAAACTTTCTTCCTTGTTAATTATAATTTTGAAAAAAAAAACCATTTTGATAGACAAGTGAAATGAAAAGTCAGCATCAATCCAGATTATGTAGGTCTATATTGTTTTGTCGGCGTGACGTTTAACCGTGGCATACCCTTGCAATGCGTTCTTATGTTATGAAAACAAGAACAATAATCATTCATGCTAATCTTAACAAGAAGTCATAACATAAAGTAAAACAGTTTTTATCTACAAATTAACTATAATCCTTTCATACACCAAAACTTGTCATAAACGAATTATAAATATCAGCTTATAATATTCATAGTTACTGATGAACACATGTAAACTTAATGAGTAACTGATATCTCATGCAAACTTTTCAAGATGTATGAGTTGAACAAATAAGAAAAATTGAGTTTGAATTCTTTTTTAAAAAAAGTTTCAGTACATCAAAATGTAAAGATACCAAATATTTTTCTATAAACACACTATTCACTTTAACTCCCACGAGACGCAAAGGTGTTGAATTGAAAAAAAAATCTGCCTAGCTGTCAGAGTTCTAAGTCCTTTTGGGTCTTGCTTCTGTAATGTATATAATAATATCGAAATATATTCATGTTTATTCGAAATATTACGTCAGGCAAATATGTAAACATAATGACGTCTTTAAGTTAATCAAGACGAAATGAAGGTTAATTACAATACTTGAAATGATATACTAGTATACACATTCTTCTTTAGTAATACCTCTTACACATAAAAATGTTAAAATATATTGTTTATCATTTTCTTTCCCAGCCCTTATGTGCTCAAAGTACGAAGAGGATTAATTAAGTAAGTAAGCAATTTTCCTTCTAGGCGTTCATAAATGCAAACCTCATTAAATGAAACTATATAATCATACATGTAAGATCTACGTTGCATTTTATTTCAGGACACTCAAGATGTTGCAGTCTCTTGCTTTAGCTTTAGGTCTACTGAATTTGCTTCATGTTAAAAGTCTTTCTGTACTTACGGACAGTGTTCAAAATGTCACTCAACTGGACACAACTGACATTGATTCAAAGAATCTAGATGTTGTGAGACAACTTTTGAATCAGGAAACAATCATAAGAATAGCATTGATGAAAAATGTTCACTCATTGATGAAGGACATGGTCGATCTGAAACAAAGTATGGAGAAATTGGAAACTTCTCAACAAAGAACAGAAATAAAATTGACAACATTGCAACAAGAAGTCAATGAACTAAAACGAGAAAACGAGAATTTAAGGCTTGAAAACAGAAGGCATGAAGAAACAATCGGTGAAACCAAGGAAAATTTTACTGAAATGCATGAACATATTCTTCAGTTTGCTGGAACAATTGAAGGCAAGAGAGAAGCTTTTGAGAAAAACACTACTACGATCCTTGGAGACTTGAAAGTTGAAGTTCGATATCTATCAATCACTCTTCTCGACTTGAATAAACATACTTTGGAAAAAGACAAAAGTATCCCTGCATTAATAGAAGAAAAATATGATATTTTATCAACAAAATTGAATGCATCCCTGGAATCTTTGAACAATGATTTACTTGCTTCTAGCGCAAGAATATCAAAGTCAGTGCTAGACCTTGAAAACAGACAGAAATCATTCGTATCTTCCATGTTTGGTAAGCATTTTACTTACAGTTTTGTTATAACTGCTTCCGACGTCCCTAATCTGCACCATTTTTATTCCCTTTAAGTTGGAATACAGCATGATTCAGATAAATTCAAGGCTTATCAAGTAATGTTAACAAGATTGTTCATCGACAAAATTACGTATTAAGATATGGATTCTAAACACAAATATTCCGGGGTTGATATTTACAAAGAGATATCAGTGTACGTTCTAAGTAAAACATATGTATCTAAAAAGGAACTTTGCATTGCAAAAATCTTGATGTAATTTCAGTGGGTATTAGTTGCCTTCTTATTAGCACTTAATGGAGATTCTTATAAAACTGAATTCTCTTTTTTAATCCACACAAGAAAGAACTTCTATTGCTGACACTAATATGGCAAACCTTATATCATTTGAAATATTTAATTTGATCCAAACCTTGATTTGATATATCCTAGAAAAAAAAATAAAAGACATCCCATGAATTCACCTGTTTCAAATTCGGGTGTTTGTTTAATAAAGAGTTTGATAAGGTTAAAGCCGATCTGCATGATAACCCTCACCCTGGTTACCTCAACGCTTTTTTATCGTCATCATCCCTTCCTGATTTTGCAACAAAGCATTATCACCTACTCATGGCGATCATGACGGCGGGTGTGACCAGTCACCATAGCAGCTGACCCCACCTCTGATGTTTCGGAGGTCCGTTCTTGCTCTGCTCCTTTTTTACAATGTTTATTGGACTTTGATATTGAATATTATTATATGATTGAATAATTCCCATCTCTCTGATTGGCTGAGATTCAACTATGTTAGAAAAATACTATGTTGTATTGACCTGCACGTGACGTTACAGGTGAATACAAGGATTTATTTTCTCTACATTGATCTAATTAATAGATCGGGAAATTCCAAATGGATATAAATTGTGTTGGAAAGCCATTTAAACGACTATGACTTTTTTTTAATGTGAACAAAACATAAGCGAATTTATATTTTCGGGTGAAAGTGGTTAGAGGGGATAAGGGACCCCCCCAACACTTTTACTGAACAACAGCTTTTACTTCTTGGCAGTCAGTTTTCCCGGATAATACGCCTTCCTTTCAAAATCTATCCTATGAAAAGACTGACATTATACATTTTTTTCATACAACTAGAATTGATTAAAAAACATTTCAAATTTATACGACTGGTAAGGTTTATTTACATTTTATATCTGCTTCTCTCTTGTATTTGGCAAGGACTTAATTAAATGTAAACAAGTAATGAGCTGTACCATTTTATCAGTGAATCATAAAATAATGTTCGTTATCTCCATATCCTTCATTGATTTGATATTCAAGATCATGATCGTATGTGTACGATCGATTCCTTAATCAAGACAAATAAGTTGATAATACAAAGGCATCAACAATTTTAAATTTAAATCAACATTTCGATAATTACTTGCTTTTACAATGACATTCTTTGCAAATGCAAACTGTTGTTAAAAGTGTTTTGTCATTATTTTTGTACTGACTTGTCCATTTTGGTTTTGATTTTTTCTTAATTTGTTTCATTTAAAGCACAAAAAAATTATATATTATCATCTATACTATTTGTCTATGTTTTGTTGTATTCATATAATATTGTAATATTACTTTAGATGATATCAACAAAACCATTGGCGACATAAGGAATGACGTCAAACAATCTCAGTACGACCATATGAAGCTATCCTCCGCTGTGTCGTCACTTGAAGTGTTCCGAATAAATGTAACAAGAAATAAATGCGGTAGGTATATTATATTTTAAATAATTCTGAAATATAGAAAATGCCTCTTCTGATATACGAAGGATATTAAGAAAACTAAATAAATAACTCAAAAGGTGTACAATTTCATTTTTCCTGGCGTATATATGTATTTACAGTATCACATGAAATTGGCTGTCATTGGACTTTTGTGAGAATCAATGACTTTTACAGTTGACGGTTTACTTGGACATTTAAACTTGTATCATGTAAGGCGGAACAGGAATTAAAAATAGATAACAAAACCTTGCTAGTGGTCATAGTTATTATGTTAGGGACATTTACATGTGAAGGCCGGGAGTTGAGGGTAGGGTGGTTGTCTTTTTAGCTCACCTGAGCCGAAGGCTCAAGTGAGCTTTTCTGATCACATTTTGTCCGGCATCCGTCTGTCCGTCCGTCCGTCTAGCTGTCCGTCCGTCCGTCCGTCTGTCTGTCTGTAAACTTTTCACATTGGGCCAATTTCAACCAAACTTGCCACAAAGTATCCTTGGGTGAAGGGGATTCAAGTTTGTTCAAATGAAGGGCCACGCCCTCATTCAAGGGGAGATAATTGGGAATTAATGAAATTTTAGTGGCATATTTTAAAAATCTTCTGATGAAGAACCACTGTGCCAGGAAAGATGAAACTTATGGGGAAACATCCTCAGGTAGTGTAGATTCAAGTTTGTTCAAATCATGACCCCCGGGGGTAGGGCGGGGCCAAAATGGCCGACCAAAGTTTTACATAGAAATATATAGGAAAATTCTTTAAAAATATTCTTCCCAAGAATGACAAAGCCATAATTCATCATATTTATATGGGAGCATGCTCAGGTAGTGTAGATTCAAGTTTGTTCAAATCATGACCCCCGGGGTAGTGCGGGGCCAAAATGGCCGACCAAACTTTTACATAGAAATATATAGGAAAATTCTTTAAAAATCTTCTTCCCAAGAATGACAAAGCCATAATTCATCATATTTATATGGAAGCATGCTCAGATAGTGTAGATTTAAGTTTGTTCAAATCATGACCCCCCGGGGTAGGGCGGGGCCAAAATGGCCGACCAAACTTTTACATAGAAATATATAGGAAAATTCTTTAAAAATCTTCTTCCCAAGAATGACAAAGCCATAATTCATCATATTTATATGGAAGTATGTTCAGGTAGTGTAGATTCAAGTTTGTTCAAATCATGACCCCCCGGGGTAGGGCGGGGCCAAAATGGCCGACCAAACTTTTACATAGAAATATATAGGAAAATTCTTTAAAAATCTTCTTCCCAAGAATGACAAAGCCATAATTCATCATATTTATATGGAAGCATGTTCAGGTAGTGTAGTTTCAAGTTTGTTCAAATCATGAACCCCCGGGGAAGGGCGGGGCCAAAATGGCCGACCAAAGTTTTACAAAGAAATATATAGGAAAATTCTTTAAAAATCTTCTTCTCAAGAATGACAAAGCAATAATTCATCATATTTATATGGATGCATGCTCAGGTAGTGTAGATTCAAGTTTGTTCAAATCATGACCCCACGGGGTAGGGCGGGGCCAAAATGGCCGACCAAAGTTTTACATAGAAATATATAGGAAAATTCTTTAAAAATCATTTTCTAAAAAATAGCAAATCCATGATTGGTCATGGGACTACTTTTGGATTTAAACTTTACAATAAAAAGCCATTTTCTACTTTTTCCTTCCCTTAGTGCTCAGGTGAGCGATGTGGCCCATTGGCCTCTTGTTCTTCAAGGTCAGCTTATATGTGCATTGAAATAACCTGTTATTATTTTTATTATTATTTTCGTTGAATTAAATGTTGAGCTTAATATTTATAATGTAAAAGAGCTTCCATATATTGTGCTAGTGTAAAAGTAAGCCGTCAACTTTTAAGTCGGCGCTCCTCACAAAAGTCCAATAGCTGATGTTTTTGAAACAGTAACATTACAAGCCAACATTGAGCCGTTTCGAACATGAAAGATAAATAAAGTAACAAAACAGGGAAAAAGGGAAAAAATATGAAATCCGGATAGGGCCACGCAGTTCAATATCGCATCATCGCACCATCGAGATTTGAGTCGATGGTGCGATGTCGCGATAATGCGATGACGATGGCGCGATGGTGCGATAACGATGAAGCGATGACGCGATAGTGCGATGAAGATGACGCGATGGCGTGATAGCGCGATAGCGCGATAGCGCGACGACGATGATGCAATGGTACGATAAAGCGATAATGCTATGATGCGATGGCACGATAGCAATGATGCGTTAGTGCGATAGCGATGATGCGATGGCGCGATAGTGATGATGCGATGCTATATTGTGTCATCGTTATTGCTTTATCGCGCTATCGACATCGTGTCATCGCACCATCGCTCTATCGACTATATAGATAGGATGGCATTCCCAGCAATCTTTGCACAACATGGCGTTTATTGATGAAAAGATTCAAGAATATTTCTTTAACGGACACGATAATAAAGAAATTATATTTCTTCTTTGGTTTTATACAGAAGAGCTTCCATGTGTATCACCATTAGTATTTAAAATTCGAGCAAAGATTTGATTGCCCAGTGATAATCAACTGACTTTAATTTTGTATTTGATAATCATATTTTAAATAACAAACACGAAGTACATGTACCAAGAGGAGAGAGGGAGGAGGACTTTTGTTTTGTGTTTGCTTTTAATTTTCTTGATTGTGAATACTGTTTTTAACGGTGCTTTTCACGATTTCTTAGAAAGTACAATAGCAATGGTTTTAATTTCACCAGGGACCTATATACTAGTGTATAGGTCCCTGACTTCACGATGCAAGAAATTAATTTAAATTTCGTATAAGCATTTACTTGTTTTTAATAGCTAATGATAGCATTCACGATGGGTTTAATTTTGCGAAAAAAAGATAAATTGCAAACATGGTGAAACTAAAACCATTATGGAATCCGGATAGGGCCACGCACTTCACTATCGCACCATCGAGCATCAACTTAAAGGTCGATGGCGCGATAATGCGATGGCGCGATAACGATGAAACGGTGGTGCGATAACGATGAAGCGATGATGCGATAGCGCGATGACGATGATGCTATGGCGCGATAATGCGATGGCGATGGTGCGATAGCACGATTGAGCGATAGTGAATATCGCTTCATCGTCATCGTACTATCGCACCATCGTCATCGCATCATCGTGTCATCACTATCGCACCATCGCGTCATCGTACCATCGCGTCATCGCATTATCGCACCATCGTCATCGCATTGTCGCGCCATAGCATCATCGTCATCGCGCTATCGCACCATCACTTCATCGCTATCGCACCATCGCCTCATCGTCATCGCATTATCGACCTAAACCTCGATGGTGCGATGATGCGATAGTGAAGTGCGTGGCCCTATCCGAATTCCATAAACCATCGTTATTATTTTCCAATCTACAGTATTAACCCCCCCCTTTAAAAACCAAAATCTAGATCACGCGGATTTCGATTTCTTTTACATCAGTCACAAGATGAGTGTATTGTTAAACTTATCTTGATTATCAAACTATATTTTAACAATCTTCTAACTATGGAATCCGGATAGGGCCACGCACTTCACTATCGCATCATCGCACCATCGAGGTTTAGGTCGATAGTGCGATGAAGAGATAATGCGATGACGATGAGGCGATGGTGCGATAGCGATGAAGTGATGGTGCGATAGCGCGATGACGATGATGCTATGGCGCGACAATGCGATGACGATGGTGCGATAATGCGATGACGCGATGGTGCGATGACGTGATGGTGCGATAGTGATGGCACGATGATGCGATGACGATGGTGCGATAGTACGATGACGATGAAGCGATATTCACTATCGCTCAATCGTGCTATCGCACCATCGCCATCGCATTATCGCGCCATAGCATCATCGTCATCGCGCTATCGCATCATCGCTTCATCGTTATCGCACCACCGTTTCATCGTTATCGCGCTATCGCATTATCGCGCCATCGACCTTTAAGTTGATGCTCGATGGTGCGATAGTGAAGTGCGTGGCCCTATCCGGATTCCATATCTAACCAGTAATATGTCTGGCAAGAAAGACATGGTTAATTTTAATGCCCAAGTGAAGTTTATTAACCCAGTAAGATCTATTTCTTATATATATTCTGTTCATATCCTCACTACCTGACTCCCTTTCTATTCTCAAAAGCGCATGCGCATAAGAGTCGATAGCGCGATAGTGCGATAATGCGATGACGATAGTGCGATAGAGCAATGATGATGACACGATAGAGCATCGCTTCATCGTTATCGCGTTATCGTATCATCGCTATCGCACCATCGCAGCATCGCTATCGTGCCATCGCGTCATCGCTTTATCGCTCCATCGCACCATCGCTTCATCGTCATCGCACTATCGCGCCATTGCATCGTCATCGCGATCTCACACCATCGCTTCATCGTTATCACTTCATCGCTTCATCGTCATCGCATTATCGCGTCATCGCACCATCGACTCAAACCTCTCGATGGTGCGATGATGCGATATTGAACTGCGTGGCCCTATCCGGATTCCATATATCTTCACTACCTGACGCCATTTCTATTCTCAATGGCACATGCGCATAAGAGTCGATATCGCGATAGTGCGATAATGCGATGACGATAGTGCGATAGAGCACTAATGATGACACGATAGGGCATCGCTTCATCGGTATCGCGTTATCATATCATCACTATCGCAACAACGCATCGTCGCTAACGTGCCATCGCGTCATCGCTTTATCGCTCTATCGCACCATCGCTTCATCGTTATCGCTTCATCGCTTCATCGTCATTGCATTATTGCATCATCGCATCATCGAAACCTCGATGGTGCGATGATGCGATATTGAACTGCGTGGCCCTATCCGGATTCCATAAAAAGGTAACGGATCTCATCTAGGAAAACGCAATTATTATCATACTGGAAATAATACCCGAAACTTGCGAAAAGTGTCGCTGTTGAACAGTGATTTTTACTCTGGGTAAATCTGTAGTTTTTTGGTATGTCTGATAGACTTAATTTCCTTTCCTATGGAGCTATATTTTGTTTTGTTCTGCACTAATATGACAAATGCAAAATGAGTGAGTTGTCATATCACTTGTATCATATTTTGATAGATATTTTTGATTTTTCCCTTCTTTCTTTCCTACTCACTTTTCTACTTACTTAATACAAAAAATAATCCTTTATTAATGTATTTGTTTACGGGGAAAATGTTTGTTTGAAAAATATTTTGTAAAAAAAAATAGATTTGTAATGTAAACAAAAAATAATAATTTATAGAGTGCATGTGAATAAAGAATTTATGCAATTGAAAAGACACATTGTCGCTTTATTTGTTCCTTGTCCATCAAGTGCATAATACATGTAATCTGATATTAAAATAAAACATTTTCGAGTAGAAAAGGATATACCGAGAGAAAGTTTCGAAAATCTAATTAACTAAACAGTGGTCAATTAACAAAGATTGCATTGATGGAGGAAAGTGGTTTTTTTTAAAAGTAAAACTGCAAATAATCAGAATATCCTTAAAAACTATGGTGGAAAGATACATTGTAACATTAGAAGTAGGATTACTATTGAAAACATTTTTATCAGATAAGTATTTTAAATTTATCTTTTTTATAAAATAATTACAGATGGAGATAACTTTGCAAAATTCAAGGTCATAAATTAGAACGTATCCCAACCTTACGTGCTGTGGAAATAATAGTAGATGGTAATTATGTCTAAATATGTTGAGTATTCAACACCTATACATATATACGTTATATTCAATTTTATTGAATCTGTTTCTATTCACGATAGAACACTTTTAAACCGCGTTTAACCAATTCAAATCATTAATTTACCATTGAACTTTAAAAACAGCTAGCAAGGATAAGAAAGATCAGTTGAGCCGTTCCAAGCAAAAACCCCCCTTTTGCAATCTGACTGAATTTTACATCACAATAGAAAAAGCGATGTCATTGTTTTGAAACAAAAACTGCAATCAAAATCAGTTGAATTGACTGCGTTCCAACTAAATTCTTTGTTTTAAGTCTCAAAATGTTCTCCATTGTGCTATATTCGTATTTTCTTTCATGGCTATTGTCTTTTTCATAACATAACTGACTCTGACTGTTGTCAAACTACATATATATTATATATTAAAAGGACCTAATATATAGTGCTCTGAAAATATATATAAAATTTGTCACCACCACTTGAGGGTAGGGTGGTTGTCTTTTTCTTCAAAGTCAACTCATATGTGCATTGAAATAACCCGTTGTTATTATTATTATTATTTTTGTTGAATTAAATGTTCAGCTGAATATTTATATTGTAAAAGAGCTTCCATACATTGTGCTAGTGTAAAAGTAAGCCGTCAACTTTAAAGTTCACAAAAGTCCAGTAGCCGATGTTTTTTGAAACAGTGACATTACGAGCCAACATTGAACCGTTTCGAACATAAAAGATAAATAAAGTAACAAAACAGGGAAAAAGGTAACGGATCTCATCTAGAAAAACGTAATTATTATTATACTGAAAATAATACCCGAAACTTGCGAAAAGTGTCGCTGTTGATCGGTGATTTTTACTCTGGGTAAATCTGTAGTTTTTTGGTATGTCTGATAAACTTAATTTCCTTTCCCATGGAGCTATATTTTGTTTTGTTCCGCACCAATATGACAAATGCAAAATGAATGAGTTGTCATATTAATAGTATCATATTTTTATAGATAATTTTGATTTTCCCCGTTTTCTTACCTATTCACTTTCCTACATACTGAATCAAAAAAGTAATCCATCATTAATGTATTTGTTTATGAAAAAATCTTCATTGTTTGAAAGATTTTTGTAAAAGATAAATATCTAATGTAAAAAAAAATAATTTATAGAGTGAATAAAGAATTTATTGCATTGATGGGGAAAGTGATTTTTAAAAAAAAAAATTGCAAATATTCAGAATATCCCTAAATACTATGGTGGAAAGATATATTATAACATTAGAAATAGAAGAACCATTGAAAACATTTTTTATCAGATAAGTATTTTTAATTTATCTCTTTTATAAAATATATGCTGAAGGAGATAACTTAGCGAAATTCAAGGTCATAAATTAGAACGTATCCAAACCTTACATGATATAGTAATAGTAGCAGATGGTGTCTTTATTTAGTATTCAACACCTTTTCATCTGTTATATTCAATTTTATTGAATCTGTTGCTATTCAGGATAGAATAAATTTAAACTGCGATTAACCAATTTACAGCTAGCAAGTGTAAGAACGATCATTTCAAGTAAAAGGAAAAATATATATTGGATGTTAATATCTTATTTCAACGCACACTGTAGAATACTCATTTTGCAGCAAATAAAACACAGTTTGAAACTGATACATTGAATTATATTTTAGATATCGCACAAAGAAGTTCCAAAAACAACCAACTCATCAGCAATATTACATCATTATTGGAAGAAACTAGGTCCAACCTCACCAGCCTTTCATCGAACTTCAACCAGGAGATACAAGCTATACACAACAATATTTCCATGATATCAGGATCAGGTCTCTCTCTCTCTCTCTCTCTCTCTCTCTCTCTCTCTCTCTCTCTCTCTCTCTCTCTCTCTCTCTCACACACACACACACACACACACACACACACAAATTTCATTATACATTTGTTTTTCTATTTCAGTGCACGACTTAAAAAGACAGATATCTTTCTTTGCTAAATTGTCTCGTAGTGTCCGAATCACAAAACGCCACCAAACTGTTGTGTATGATTTAGCTCAGACAAATAATGAAAATGGATATAACCCAAAGAATGGAATCTTCACTTGTCCTCAGTCTGGAACTTATGTGTTTATGTGGAACACACTGATTTATGTACGTACATATATCAGACTGGAGATTGTTGTGTCCGGAACAGCTTTATACGGTATTTTAGAGGACACTGAAGAGGCAGGTGACTATGACAGTGCAACTGGCTCTGTGATTGTTAATCTCAATGTTGGAGATAAGGTGTTCATTCGTTCTCGTGACTCCGGTCCTGGGCCTCTTTACCTCGATTCAAGTATCGTAACCTCATCATTCTCTGGATACCGAATTTAGCAAATGCTATAAAACTGATTGGAATAAAGAAGATTCAAAATTAAAGGGGCATGGACACAGTTTCAACTGAATCTTTTTACCAATTTTAATTTTTAAAATTCTTAACTATGTATGGAAATGTGCTTTAAAGTCTTCCTGGTCAAAATGAAGCTAGGTATCTGTAACTTTCTTTATTACATTACATATATACAATGAAAAAATCTTACTGTTCTTGACTTGGTGTGTACACGGCAATCTATAATGCAATTCTAATGATCAGCAAAAATTTTGGAATCATTTGTAGATTAACAAAGGAGGTACAGGACTGGGAATTCTTTATAATGTAAACAAGGCTCGTCCCTTGTTTTTCTTTACATTTAGAAAATATCATGTTTATAACAAAACGAGATTCAGCAAATAACTGTAAACGTACTTTTTCCACGTGGTCACAATTCCGTGAGATCACTATTTCTGTTTAATCCGCGGGTAGAAAATTACGCGGATTTCGTAGACTCTCACTATATTTCTTACATTTATATTAAGAACGCTTGGACAAATTTCCGCGAAAAATTTGTGATCGCGTACATAGCGTAAATTAATCCAACGCGGAAAAAATATTTCTACAGTATTAGAAAATTTCTAATCATATCTAAAATAAAATTCTTTATTGAAAAAATCTGCTTTGACAAACACATATCAGCATATTTAACCTATGTAAAGAAAAACATAGCTCAGGCCTTGTTTACATAACAAATTAAAGGCTTGGAGAGCTCTCTAAATCTGTTTTGTAACTCGACGACTGAAAATCAAAATTGTGCTGATCATTAGAAATACCTTAGTTAAGTATTTGTAAACATAAAAAAATGGTATGAAAATTTTTGGCTGAAACTGTGTCCATGCCCCTTTAATCGGAGAATATTGGAATTATAAATATAGATTGTCTGATGTGTGCTGCTTTCAAGACTATAAACTTAGAATTTATTTAAGGCAAAATATGGAACGCCATAGCTGCCTTAAGGTATGGTACATAATGTTACATGGTGTGTTCTATACAATAAAGGGTTGAATCAATATAATAAATGGTCACCACTCCTTGTTAAAGGGTGAAGCAAATATAATACATGGTGTGTTTAATATAATAAAGGGTCGGTTCTTTATGTTAAATGGTCGCCACTCCTTGTTAAAGGGCGAAGCACACAAAATACAAGGTGTGTTTAATATAATTAAGGGTGTGTTTCATATGTTAAAGGGGCAGCACTTCTTATCATACTGTTAAAGATTCAAAATAAATGGTGCATTCAATATAATAAAGGGTCGGTTTAATATGTTAAATGGTCGTCGCTACTTGTTGTAGGGTGGAGTATACATGTACAATTTAAACGGTGCATTCAATATAATAAAGGGTCGGTTTGTCATGTTAAATGGTCACTGCTACCTTTTATAGGATGGAATATATAAAAAAAAGGGTAAAGATGTGTCAAATTCTGTAGCTAATTTTACATACTAGTAGTTTCAAAAGAAAAAAAGCAAACAATTAAAATAGAAAAAATAAACAAACAAACAATCCCCACCCCCATCACAAGCCTGTGGTACGAGGGGGAAAGCGCACCGATTTGATTTAATATGAAATTTTTCATTCAAATGCCCCCCCCCCCCATCCACACACACACACTTTTTGTTGTAGCTTGGTTGAAGTAAAATTTGTCCCACTTTAATGTATTTAATTAAGAATATTTCGAAAAGTTAGAAAAAGATCCTAAATTCCCCAATGGTTTGTCAACTTTAAGCCTGTAAATTATTGACGCCCTTCAATTTTTACACCCCCCCCCCTCGTTTAAAAACGTTGGGCTTATGTACATGTGACAAGTTAAAAGCGTTGTATGTCGTTTAGACATAACCCCTCCTCCAAATTCCACGCTTAATGCAAATGACAAAAAAGTGTATATGAAAGTTTGGAGATGTATGGTCTTTCTATAAACAGTTTTATACAATTTTATAATAAAGAGGAATGATATCTTAACAGAGGAGGAAAGATTATAAAATAAGTGACTGTGATGTTCCTCAGAAGATTAAACATTACGTACGGCAAAAAGAGAAGTAACACTCATGCGAGGGTCTAGCGAATAGTTTTTTCACATTTGAAAACAGTTTTGTTTTTTTTGTTTTCTGCTTGTCAGGAATGAATGCTTTGTTTACTGGGGGACCCCTCCCCTGGAAAAAAAATTCCTGGACCGGATCCGCGCCTGACACTTAGCTCTCCCTCCCCTACCATTACCCCTACCATTAGCCGTTTTTTTTTTTTTTTTTTTTTTTGCAATCGTACTTGATAATGATAAACATTTAAAACTACGAGACATTTTTGTTCCATAAGCCAGTTCTACAAAGAATAATTATAAGTTCGACCCATTTTCTTTGCAAAATTTCATCCGGATTTATTTTTATTCATTCTTAATTTCTTTCTTCCTTTTTTTAAATCTTTTTTTTATTTTACATTTTTACGAAAAATGAATTAGTCAAACAAGAGGTTAGAACTAAGATAATAAATTAATAAAATATTAGAATCAAATTGGAAAAAAAACAATTACGTATTTAAATAAGAATACTAAAGGAGAACTGTGCCAATGAAATCCCTCTCAAACACCAGTTATATAATATATCATAGCTAATATTTAATGTGCGTTTTTTGAAACCATGTAAAATTAGTAAAACAAAGATAATTGTACTTGACGCATTTTTAATGTGTTATTTAACTTATTTTAGATATTTATTATGTGCCTTTTATCCTATTACAAGTAGCAGTAACCATTTAACATGGTAAACCAACCATTTACTTTGTAGAACACACCATGTATCTACCATTGACTCTAAAACAAGTAGCGGTGACCATTTAACATATTGAACCGACCCTTTATCATATCGAATGCACCATTTAATTTGTATACTTCACCCTATAACAAGTAGCGGCGACCATTTAACATATTAAACCAACCCGTTATTATATTGAATGCACCAGTAATAATTTGTATACTTCACCTATAATAAGTAGCGGCGACCATTTAACATGTCAAAACAACCCGTTATTATATTGAATGCACCATTTAATATGTATACTTCACCCAATAACAAGTAGCGGCGACCATTTAACATATTAAACCAACCCGTTATTATATTGAATGCACCATTTAATTTGTATACTTCACCCTATAACAAGTAGCGACGACCATTTAACATATTAAACCAACCCGTTATTATATTGAATGCACCATTTAATATGTATACTTCACCCAATAACAAGTAGCGGCGACCATTTAACATATTAAACCAAACCGTTATTATATTGAATGCACCATTTAACATAGTAAACCGATCCTTTATTATATCGAATGCACCATTTAGACACCTATCACCTGATAACAAGGAGTGGTGACCATATAACACACTAAACCGACCCTTTATTATATTAAACACATAATGTATCTTTCATCGTATAACAAGGAGTGGTGACCATTTAACATAAAGAACCGACCCTTTATTATATTGAACGCACCATGTATTATGTGCGCTTCACGCTTTAACAAGGAATGTTGACCCTTTATTATATTGATTCAACCCTTTATTATATAGAACACACCATGTAACATTATGTACCATAGCTTAAGGCAGCTATGGCGTTCCATAGCAAAATGTTAAATCTATGCCTACTGTGAATGTGGTTATATTGACGAGTTGAAAAATTGACGATTCAATTGATGAGTGTTAAATTTGACGAAATATTTAACCAAGAGTTATGTATCTTTGAATTCAAAAAGTAAAAAACAATATATTCCAGCTACAGTGTGTAAGATTGTACAAACCATATCAGTGTGTAAGAATTGATTAAATAAATTGCCCTTTTGTATTCCGTTTTCATTATTATCGGCGATCAGCTGCCTTAGGTGATAATTAGGTTAAATTACGCATGCAGTACTGTATTTGATACACTAGGGGTTTTAAAAAATTTGATTATAATATATGTTTTTGATCATAACTAATTACAAAGAATATTAACAATAACTTTGATCTAATTTTAATATGGGAAGCTGAAAAAATTAAGTTGTATAGTTGTACAATGACGAATATCTGTTGTGACGCTTAATATATGATTCGAAGTTTGACAAGTGTAAATTTTGACAAGAAAAGAAAAATCGTCAATATAGTCAAAATTAGCAGACCGTCAAAATTTCCACGTTACAGTATATACTGTAAAACAATTTTTATTTGCGTGAGAGAAATTTTCGCAAAGTTCGCGAGAGCATAGTCAACACGAATATTTCTCGCCGTGAACCAGTTCTTAAAGTCTGGGTATCTATGAACAAGAGAACCTAAATAGCCTTGATCGCTGAAATCAATGGTTGCGAACTAGTTTACTCCCGGTAAATCGCGAAATAAAGTCGTTGCAAATAAAAGTTGGTTTACAGTATTTTCTTTTAGATAATTTTGATAATAAAACAACATTTTCGAAATTTGTGTGAATTTGTGTATTACACAAATCTGCAACTTTATATGCATATTGGAGTTTTATGAAGAGTTTTACTTTTACAATTGACAGCTGACTTTCTGTAAGTCTCTTCATAAAACTCCATATATCACATATATTCATTATATCACAACAAAATTTTGACTCAATTCTTCTTTTAGTATCTGGTCTTGAGGTCCTGGTTATCGAATTCATGTGATATTGTATCGGATATTTAACGTTCAGAGAGAGAGTGAGAGAGAGAGAGAGAGGTATGGTATGCCTTTTCCCCTTCTTTATTTACATAATACATGTATATCCATACTCAAAATAAATTTGACGGACTCATATTGTAAATCATAAGTACATGTAATAGTGATGGACTCGATAAAATGAAAATATCATAATCATTTTGTTTCCAAGTTTTACGATCTTCAAAAAACTGAAGAATTAAATACAGACATTAAACAAGAATGTATATTGAAAACCATATATACAAGAATATGTTAACTCAACGATCAATGATCATCTTATTTTCATGACACAGATTGGAATGGCACTGGTAAAATAAACTATAATTGCATACATATATCATTATTCCATATTTTTAGCTCACCTGAGCCGAAGGCTCAACTGAGCTTTTCTGATCACATTTTGTCCGACCAAAGTTAAACATAGAAATATATAGGGAAATTCTTTAAAAATCTTCTTCTCAAGAACACCAAAACCATAATCCATC